CTCCACCCCCACCTGATTTCTCTGTATCAGTTCTTCCTCATATGCCTCATTTTTATGAGGAATTGCTCTTTTTACCTTTTCCTACACAATTTTGCTTTTTTGAATCACCACATCATACTCAGCTCTTCCCCAATCTTTCTTTCGAACTATCCAATTACTAATGATAATCTTAAGCATACCACTTATGTTTCCAGGTATAAAAAGTAAACAGTTTGTCCTTATTGTATGCTATAAATCTTAAGGCCTCAGGTAAAGCCTATATAGAAATGTGAGCCAAAGCCTAATTATGTGAGATACAGATTTGCATAAATCTATAGCTTTAGTTCTGGGTCATTGATTAGACATTATAGTGATTTATGTATATGTCTTATTTCACTCTTCCACTCACATTAGGTTGTAATCTCTTTGGAGGCAATCTGTCTTCTATTTCATTTTTGTATCTTCAGTCCCTACCAGTGTTAGTGATAGCAATAGTAAATAAATGCTTAATCAGTGTTTTTTTTAAATTAATTGTCTTTCATATTGAATTAATTGAAATATTTCATGATTGAATGATTATTAATTGCAGACAGTTACAGAAATTTATTCCTTTTGTTTTATATACTTGAAAGTTAGGGCCTCTTAAGGATATGGTGTCAGTTTACGCAAAACAACGTGGAAATTAGAAGCCCTATGACTTGATGCTCCATTTTAAAAGATGAGATTAATGCTCAATTCTGAACATTGGAGCTTATTTTGGGAGGTTTCTGTTATTTTTCCATACACTATGTTGATACTCTGTTTTGCCTTTTAGGTTGGAAAACCATCCAGAAATCTATGCAACTGAATCTGAAAAGTTCTCTCCTTTATGCAGAAGGTAGGGGAGAAGAAGCAGTAGCTAGCTGGGGTTTTTTTCTTTATGATACACCCTAGAATCAAAGCAGAATCATAGGATGTGAGAGCCAAAAAAAGATGTATTGTAGATAATACCCACCCTCATAATTTTATAGGTTAAGGAAACTGACACCCCAAGAAATTGACTTGTTCAAGGTCACAAAGTGATAGGGTTTGAACGGAGGTTCTCTGTCTCCATTTCCAGCATTCCTTCTGCCAAATGACACTGCTTCTCTAAGACGTGTTCTTTGTTTAGTTATTGGCTAGCTGTGGTTTGTAAGACTGAATAAAGTTGGAGTATCTGGCCCTGAGATTACTAAATTCTAATGAGTTCTTATCCTGGTTCTTCCACTAATTAGTTGTATGACCTTAAATCAAAATTGCACTTTACTAAGTCCTGGCCTTAATTTCCTCATCTGGAAAATGAGAGGATAACCTCCAAGATCCCTTCCAGATCTAAAATTTTTTCATTGTTTGTTTGCTGGGTGGTGCAGGTTTAGGCTACCCTTTTCTAAGCAGAGGCTTTCCCTCCCCTTTCCCTTGGGACCTAGGCTTCCATTTCTTCTGATTCTCTTGAGGCTTTGAAGCTATTAGCTCCTTAGGGCCTAGACACAGGGAATGATTTAATTCATCTGAAGATATGGTAGTGTATTTCTCATGACTCTTGTGGCTGACTGATTGATATTATAGGATTTATAGTGGTTGATATTATGGAGCTTAATCTTGTAAACCATAGGTTATGGTGGGAGGTAAGCCCCCAGGGATGCTCAGCACCTATAATCCCTTAGAAGAGGAAAGACTCAGGGCATCTTTGATCCTCCCGGGGAAAGCCCTAAAAACAGGACTATGGAGAAGGCCGATTTTGCCCAAAGTCTCAAGGCATTACATCATAGGCCACTAAACTTCTTCACTCCCTAAGTCTCTTCTAGTGAGGCATCCTTTGCAGCTGCTTCTGCACCAAAATCATGAGTCAGATAAAAGGAAGAACTTCTCCATTCTTTGCAATCTTTCAGACAGCTTTCTATATGATTTGTGATTTGCTGTGTGTTTGCCTGCATATGGGAAGAATCATTTCTAGCTGTAGGATCAAGTATGTAGACAAATGCAAGAGAGGATACTAACCAGACCAGGGGAAGTTTCATTTAGTAATTTAATAATAACAATAATAATAATAATTAAAAAAGACAATACAAAATCCAAATGTTTCTTTTTACAAGTTCAGATACAATTTTTTTCCCCAAGTGCAAAATACTTTATGAACCGCATTGGTTGTTTAATGTTGATTGTGTTGGAGATGCTTCCAGTGGCAGTGGTGGAAGGCAGATAAACAGCATTTCAAGATTTCTTTTGCATTTAGAAATAAAAACAAAAACCCATAATGTCCCACATGGTCATTTGGGGACATTCAAACCAACCCTCACAGAAGGATGAAGTTTTTAGTTTGTTTAAACCTCATTCCACCTGAGCTATTTGACTGGGCTTTAAGTAGGCTTAAGATCCCACTTGATAGCAGAACTAGGGGTTTCCTTACCTCCAGTTAGGCCTTTTCTTAAATGACTCCTGGTCTTAATAAAGTCCTAAGACTAAGATGTGTTATCTTTGTATCAGGTCAAATCCCAGCAACTTCTTCAATCCATTTCCATTGTGCTCAGGAAGAAACCAGGTAGACTGGTTTTCTGAAGTCAATTAAATTTTTGCATCCCCCTTCCTTAGTTGAGGATAGTATTTTGGGACTCAAATGTCAGACAAAAGAATCTTAAATTCCTGAAAACTTCTCAGGGACATTCAAGGAAACAGTATCCTACCACATCCCAAATTTGCCTAAGTGTGATTATGGAAAGCACCTTCTTCAGAAATCAAACCTTAGTTTTGAACCAAAGCCCCCAGACTATATACCACATCTGCCCAAACAGTCTGACTGACTCTGACCAAATGCTGGGGAAGAGACTAGAGAGGGAAGTGCCACTGCCTGGGTCAGTCACAGCTCAACGTCTATGCCCTTAGAGGTTTCCAGCCTTTCTATTTCAGAATGAGGTGAAATGGAGGCCTCCCTAGCAAACGAGGCCCATTGCAAGCTGCCTGAGAGTGTAGAACAAATCCCATCATCAAGGTATCAGTTGGAGTTTCACCTAATTTTAGAAATCTTTTCCAATTTAGGACTCAAACCTGAACTGGTGAGAGAGAAAGAGAGAGAGAGAGGCAGAAAAGAGAAGAGAGATGGGGTTTAATTATTCTTTTGCCTTTCTGGAATGCCCCATATGTCCATCAACAGCCCTCTGGAAAAGAGCAATAGTTTTCAGAATGATGCCAAGGTGAACTAAGGTGAATAAAGCCCCAGTAGTCTTCTGGTCATGGGAAAGCTTCTTCCTATTGAGAAGCCCCTTGGATCTCATGTGAAGAGTCCCCATTTTGTTTTCTTACCACTCATACTAGGAAGACACCCAATACTCTGTGTGATTTAGGGAAGGTCAATCAACACTCCCTGAATCATTGGTCTTTCATTCCCTTAACAACTCTAACTGTTTATCTGTTAACACTACTCTCCTGTTCCATCCCCAGAGCTGGTTCCCCCCTCTGCATGCAGACATGAGAAAGCTGGGGTCTTAGTCATCTAGCCAGATATTTGGGGAGTTGCTGCCCCAAAGTGGGTTTTCAATGGTCCTTGTTGAGCTAAGCTGGGCAAACAAGTCTACATTTTAGTATCCAACACTTTCTTTGTTCTTATTATCAGAGGCACTCAGCAATCTGTGGAAGTCACTTTCAGGTCCCAGGAACCATAAAACTAGGAAGATTTGGGGGAAGGCAGGAAGAATCCAAATCCGTATCAATTTTAAAGAAACCTAGCTAAAACCTGAGGAATGCCTTGCAAATTGTTTTCTAAGATGGGAAATTAAAAAAAGGGGAAAGAGAATCAGGGAAGTTTCCCAAACTCTTGTTGGCACCTAGTTAGGATGGTCAATTAGATGAAAAAGTTTGCAAAACACTTCCTGGGCAGTGTGAATATCTTGGCCAGTGAATTTTTCCTCCGCTCATAGGCGGCTGCCTCCTTTCATCTTGTTGTTTCAGAGTGGCTCACTTACTCCAGGAAACAGTCAGCCATCTGATCATGAAGAACCACATAATGATGACTAATGCATGAGAAAAAATGGATACTGGCCACAGGGCCCGTCCAGGAGAGTCCTGGTCCCTTACTATTGAGCCCTGGGTGGGGAAGGAGGGAGGGACATAGGCAAACAACATTTTCTCCAATATTCTGCCTTAACTCCTTATTATCTAGAAGTGACCCATAAAGGCTGGATGATATCCTGGGGACCCACTGTGACTACTTTTGGGGACTTGCAGGAGAAAAGAGGTGGATATAAACAGCATCTAACAATGGCAGCTGTGTTTAGGGAACATTGTGTAAATAGGATCTGGGATGCATATTTTAGTTCCCTGTCTTCCTCTTCCCTTTGAAAAGCAGCACTTGAGGATAAAGCCCTTGAAAAAGGTTTAGAGAAAGATGCAGGGGTAGGTAGACTGGCTGAGGTCGGGTGACTTCCATAGCCTTATACCTTGGAAGGAATCCCTTTCATGGTCCCTAGAGCCTTCCTGGCCATGGAGTCCTAAATCACCCCTTTCTGAACAATGCCTCCTGGTCCTCTTCTACTGAAACCTTGGGATGTAATATAACAAAGGGAAGACAGAACAGTAAGGTGGTCATTCCCAAAGTCCAAGGAAGAAATGGAAGCCACTCCTACTTGCAGTGGACAGTCAATGACCACTTCCAACAGTTCTCTGAAATCACAAGATCCTAAACTCTGCTCCCAGCAGAAGCAGAAGGAAAATGTTGCAGGATGGACTAAGCAATTGCTAGGATACTCTGCTTTCTGCTCTATCAGGTCTCCAGAATTCCTACCCTGTCTTTTGAGCTATAGCCCTGGTCCAGCCTGGCCCATGCCCCTTGGACGTCCTCTAAGTGGCTGCTGGGGACTAAGAGAAATTCCAGGTCTGAAAACTTCAGTAGACATGGTTCATGTGAATGAAAACCTCTTTTCTTCCATTCCAAACATACACTCTTCTTTCTTGGGCAGCTATAAATAGGGTTGTTTCTAAAAGAAAACAAAAAAAAAACTCCCTCTAAAAAACATAAAGACTCAAAATGATTGCACTTATTAGATGTGGACAAGGTGGGCAAAAGGCTCTCCACGTGCACACACGTTCCTCTCGTTGCCCAGGGCCTGGGGCCAGGGGCAGGCAGCTCCAGTCCACAGGGCTGAACCCTCTTTGGTGGAGCCCATTGAGATACCTGGGGCTGCCAGCTATGGCCCAGGGTGGTTTCCCATCAGCAGCCATGGTTCTTTAAGGATGTGACTTAGGAAGTGGTGCAGGACTCCCCCAGGGAGCACTGGAATGGGGATAAGGGAGGATGGCTGAGCCAGGGGCTATAGGTTGGGGCAAAGGATTAGTGTCTGCGGTTAGTATTCAGTCATTCTGTAGTGTAGTCCTTTAGATTTTTTTTTCTTTTTTGGCAATGCTTAAAAACCTGGTTTCTCTTCTGTGGAGCTTTATGTTTTCTCCTGGAAGCCACGGCAATGTGATCTGCACGGCAATTGCCCATTCCTCGTCTGTTCCTCATCATTTAGTTCAGAGATCACCAGCTCAGTGGTGAGTATCATTGTGAGCCCTTGAGTGGTAAAGCTCAGGCACAGTATGTGGGGCAAGGAGGAGGAATACTAGGACAATCTTGACAAGATGCTTGCTCCACCCCGGTCTCAGTGGTGGTGGTGGAGGGTGGGGTTGAGGGTGGTGCCCAAACTATGCCCCACAGAGGACCAGTGCTAGGGAAATGCCTGCAGGCCAAAGACTTCTTTGGTAAGACCCTGGGCTGCCTGAGTTTCCATGGGTTGAGGGATATGTATCAGAGAGGAGGGGAGGATTCTGGCTCTAGACAGTCAGGGCACAGCCCTGAGAATGGCAGATACACCTTCCCTGCCTTGCCTCTAGGGCACAATTGCCCTAAGACCAATTGCCTTCATGGACCCCCTCACCCCTTTCAAACTGATCCTGACCACAGAGCATGGGTTAGGGAAAAGATCAGTTTGTGGGGCTGCTACTTCCATCCCTTAGGGGGAACAGAGCTAGCACTGAATGGCTTTTCCAACACTCAGGGAGCATGTAGGAAATGGAAAAATGGGTAAATCAGAGAGAGAAAGGCAGGGAGATGGAGGGACAGAATGGGAAAGTAAGTAGTCTGCATAGTGAATATTTGTTTTCCCCAAAAAGAGAGTTCCTTGGCAGAAGATGAGGGCTGTTGGGCTATGAGGGTTAGGCAACCAGGGAGCTTCGAAGCTGGGGTCTGTGGGGCTGGGGAGGGCTATTTGTAAGGTCGAAGGAAGCTGGAAACTTTGGAGCGTAGCAGCTTGATGAAGGATCGGGGTAACATCTCCTTGTGCTTCTCTGTGTACTTGAAGTAGTTCTGTGGGTGGGCTAGCACTTCAAAGAAGGCCTTGATGAGCTTCTTATCCTGCAGAGGACAATAGGGAGCCCTGAGTACATTAGCCTTAAAGCTATCAAAGTGGGCAAAATTAAGGTGGCAGTCAAATGAAAACCAAGACTGGGACCTGAAAAATACTGTGCACATAGTAAGGTGTTCAACAGATATTTCCTGAGTTAGTTAATTGATGGTTTGGCTTCTCCTCCCCAGGCCTCCTTTTTAATCATTCTGAGCCCCTTGCCTAGTCCTTTGGACATTGGAGAGCACCTCCCATATCCTCCACTATTTAAAGATGGTATCCAGGGAATCCTCATTTCCCTCTTTCCCTCCCTCATTTCCGAGACTTCACCATCTCTAGAAACTCATCATTCCACAAGATGAAGTCAACTCAGAAACTCACGCCTCCTCAGATTATTTCCAACCCTGGCTACATGACTTCATCATGGCCTTACATGCTGTGCAAGCTCCTTGAGGGCAGGATCTTTGTATCCTTAGTCCTTAGCATGGTACCCAGCACATACTATGTTTGTCGACTCGAACTCTGAGTCCTTGGTAGCACTGGAAGTCTGTTTCTAAGCCTACTACTGTGAGCCCTCCTCTGAATGAGAATTTCCATTTTCTTCATTCTTGATGTGGTTGTTCTGTTGTTTCAATCATGTCTGACTCTCCATGACCCCATTTTGGGGTTTTCTCCGCACAGATCCTGGAATGGTTTTCCATTTCCTTCTCCAGCTCATTTTACTGATGAGGAGTTGAGGCAAACAGGGGTAATTACTTGCCCAGGGCCACACAACTAGTAAATGTCTGAGGCTGGATTTGGACTCAGGAGGATGAGTCTTCCTGAAGCTCACTGTGCCATCTGGCTGCCTTTTTCGTCATTACAGGAGATCAAAGAATCATAGAATGTTAAAGCTTGGAGCAGTCTTAGAAATGATTGAGGCTATTATCTTCCTTATAAGGAGAGGAAACTGAGGCTCAGATAGGAAATGGCTTACCTAAAGTTTCAGGGCTAGTTAGTAGCAGAGTTGAGACTAAGAACCCTGCTGACTTCTTTTTTGGTCTTATGACTCTATAATCCTTCCAATGCCTGTACGTTACTTCCCTTTCCCTTAGCCTTCCCCCCATGTACTTCCCCTTCTTTTCCTCACCTTCAGAATCTCTTGGTGGTTTTCAGAGGCGTAGAGCCGACCATCTCGCACAATGTCCTCTACTAATTGTTCATAGTCCTCTGCAAAGCCAACAGATATGGTAAGGCTCCGGGTTAGAGAACTTGCCTGCTTCCTAGCTCACTCCCTGGGCTTCCTTCTTGACTCTCACTGAACTCGAGAGAATATAAGCCCCCCACACCCCTGACCTCCTAACCATCATAGGTGACATAGGGTATCTGGAAGCCCCTGGCACTGTTGGCTTCACTTGTTTTGAAGTTGATCCAGAGCTTTCGGGAGCGAGCAGTGAAGGCAATGGGCCGCTCATAGGTCTGGCACGTCTCATAGGTGGTGATGGAGGATGGAGAGGCTGAGGATATAAAGAGTAAGCAGGTAACAAGGTGAGGAGAGGAGGTGAGCAGAGTTTACCCTAGGAGGAGAGTTTAGGGATGAGAATTGGACAGAAAGCATCAGACTGACAAAACCTTGGGAAATTGGAGTTGTCATCACCCTCTCTCTCCTATCCCCCACCACATACACAAATCTGTTATCCCATTGTGCTGGTGCAATGTCTCTGGTGCACTGGGACCAGAAAATATTAAAATGTTGGCATTTAAAATTTTTTAAAGGCAAATTTTCTAGGAAGGAGGGAAGCAGCCCCTGGTTCTCTTAGGACCTCCTTCCCTCAGTCTCTTTTCCCTGCCCCCCAGGTTCCCTCTCTTCTTTTCTTGGTCCTCCATATCTTCCCTCTTTGCCTCTGTGCCTGGTTCCTTCTCTCATCGTTTCTAGACCTCCCCAGCTCCCTCACCCCAGCACGACTTTGCTACTACCCACAGTTCTTGCGCATGACAAGGACATCCCCGCACTCGTCTTCGGAGGGTAGAAAAATCTCCGGCACTACAATGAGGATCTTTCGCTTAGGTGGTGGATTGATGTTCCAAGTGCACTCTACTCCTGCTGGGTAGTTGCCAGGATAGTTGGGGGATTCGATATATCCAGTGAACTCACCTATCTCCCCACCACACTGGCGATCTGTGACCAAGCCCAGGTGGACAGGGCAGGAATGAGAAGAAAATTGATGTTGAGATGGGGAAAGAATGCAAGGATCTAGAAGGATTTCATGGGGGAATCTAAAAAGGACCTCTTGATCTTAGTGATCAAGCATGTGGTTTGTGGGTTACCATGGTGCCAGTGTAGTTACCTTCTTAGGGTGACTTGATGGTCATAGGATGATTCTAGGATCACTTTCCAAGTTTTTTATTTATCTTTCTTCCTGCCTTTCTTTTCCCCAACCTCCCTGCCTCCCTAGCACCCGCTGTCAAGGAGGAGATTTTGCTATGACAGCGTATATGAGAATATTAAAGAGGCAGAGAAACTTCCCTGTCCATTACTCCCCTAGCCCTGTCCCTTCTTGTTCCAATCCCCTCCAACTTTTCCTTATGTGTCTCATCGCTAGCCCTAGCCCTACTCACCTTCCCCATCCCTGCCAACCCACTGCCTCTAATCACTTCTGCTCCCTTCTACCATTATCCACTGTCCCCTTCCCTATCACTTGATCCTGACACTTACTTTTACACTGGGTTACACTGGTGGAGCCATCAAAGTCAGTGCTGGTGTTTCCTGGGCAGCGGGTGCAGAAGTTCTGGCGAAATTCCGGTTGGTAGGAACCCAGGGCACAACGGATACAACGATGGATGCTGATGTTATAGTAGTGACCAGGGGAACACTGGACTGTGGAAGAAGAGATAGGCAGAGAAGGTCCAGTAAATCTAGGGAAGGAGCGTGGATGCTAAACTATCTCAGGGGTCACATATACAGTGACCTGCATGCAGTAAGCTAAGAGTCAGCCTTTCATGCAGTAATCTCAAGACCCGGGACCATAGTATCATCCAGTCTCATGGGGTGGGGGTGCATAGGACACCAACTTGGGTAGCGACTAGAGTCGTGTCCTGCCTCCCAATGACCTTGTGCTCATAGGTTTCCTATGCCCCACCCCTCTTCAACAATAAAGATTTGTTGTCTTGAGCTGAATTGAATTGGGATGCAGGAGACTAGAATTCTTTTTCAGGCTCCAGCCCTGCTGAAGGGCCTCAGTTATTCCTCCTTGTACTTAAGTTTCTCTGTTTAGGGATGGCACCCTTTGATGGAGGGCAGCTAGGTGGCACAGTAGACAGAGTGCCAGGTCTAGAGTCTGGAAGACTCATCTTCTTAAGTTCAAATCTAGCCTTAGACATGTATTAGATGTGTGACCCTGGGCAAGTCATTTAACCCTGTTTACCTCAGTTTTCTCATCTGTAAAATGAGCCGGAGAAGGAAATGGCAAACCAATCCAGTATTTTTTGCCAAGAAAACCCCAAATTGGGTCATGAAGAGTCTGATAGGACTGATAACGGCAGAACAACAACAGCAACCTTTGATAGGCCATCTATCTAAAGTTGTGTCCTTTCCTTTTTTTTTTTTTAAAGACTCTGAACATATGCAGATTTTTCACTAATGCAGGCAGGTAGTGTTTTGATAATTATTGCAGACAGTTTATGGAAGTGAAGGCAATAGGTGGATCTGAATGTTGCTAATTCTGATGACCAGAGATGTAGGACTGTACCTGATGATCTTTGAAGTAGGTGGGTGGTGATGGGCCAATAGGAGTCTTAATCAGTGATGGGAAGGGAGCATTGGGGCAGTATTTACTGGCCCAAGTACCATCAAACATTGAGCTTGGGTGCTCCCTCCCAAGGCTGCCGTGAAGTGAAGGATTATGCTTTGAAATCAGAGATGAAATTTGGAATTTCAGCTGGTGTGGGGGCAGGGGGACATATGCCTGGTGAAGTTGAGAGGCAATCTGACTGAGTGAAGAGAGTCAGAAGATCTTGGTTCAGATCCTGGTTTTGCTGTATGTTATCTGTATGACCTTGGGCAAATCATTTACTCTCTCTGGGCCTTAGTTTCCTCATCTGTAAAATGAGAGAGTTGCTCATAGGGAGTTTGTAGTTCACATACCTTTGGTATCACAGTCTTGGAAGGAGACAGCCCCTTCATGCTTGGTGGTGAGGCCCCCACCACATGGGAAGCACAGTGTTCGTCCTGACTCAGGCTGGTAGGTGCCACGTGGGCATTGCTGGCATGGTTTGAACCCATCTGCTGAGTACTGACCTGGTGGGCACTGACCTGCAATAAGCCAAGGGCCAGACTCTGATGGGGGTGTCCTAAGGCCCTGCCCATAGGCTCATCCAGTCCCATGGGGCAGGGGCACATGGGACACCAGCTAGGGTAGCAGGCTATGGCTTTTTCCTGTCCCCTAGGAAACTTCATGCCCATGGGCTTCCCTTATCCCACCCCTCCCTAGGCTGGATTGCTTGTTCCCCTGGCACCTGCACATGTGGTGATGTTGGTGGCTCCGAGGGGCCCATGGGCATCACTCCCAGGGCACAGGTCACAGGAGAGCTGCCCTTCCCTCTCTTGGAAGGTGCCTGGCGGGCATGGCACACACTGCTCCGTCTGGCCGTGGTAATACGTTCCCTGCGGGCAGCTGACTGAGGGAGAGTCGGCCGTGCTAGCCATCCCCCCCCCCCAGCCCTAGGACTGCCCTCCCACTCCCCAGAATTAGGACCCCCTCCCCATGGGGGGAAAAGTATAATCTTATTTGGAAGGTGTGTGATATAGGTTGAAGCCATGGATAGGAGGGATGGAGTAGTAAGAGAATATGAACCCAGCCTGGGATATATATATATATATTTTATATATATATAAAATCTTAGTACTTTGAGATCTAAGAGACATGGGTGGGACAGAAGCATATGGGATGGTCATAGCTTGGGAATTTGGAAAGCCACAAATTGGGGCAGTTCAAATACTTGGGAATAATGAGGGGGGTAGCCTCAAGAATCCATGCCTGTTTCCTATCCCAAACTAGCCCCTGCTTTGTACTCCTTCCAGTTTTGTGTCCCCATTACACACTCTTACCACACTTGACCCCAGTGCGATGCTGCCCAGGCACACAGGCCTCTGCCTGTTCCACTCGCTCCCCAGCTGGGCCTGGCTTGTGTGCCAGCTCATAATCCAGGCCCGCAAGGCGCAGTAGGAAGCGATCCTGATTGATAGATTTCCTTAGCATCTTCAGTGACCCTTTCAGCCGCCGTTCCATCCTCTGTCGGAGGCAAGGCAGCCCACAGCTTGCTGTGGAAGGAAGCAGCCATGAGCAGGAGGGCGTGTGTGTCTATTGGGGAAACAGCTATGAATGGGGAGGGGGTCAAGAAGAATGGCCATGTACAAGAGGATCTAATGAGGAGCAGCCAGCAGCCAGGATGGGACACGTGCAGGAGTAGCAGCTATAAGTCCATAGTGGCTAGGAATAAGAGTGGCTCTCATGATCCTTACTCCTCTCTTTCCATCCCTTATTCCTCACTCCCAATGTCCTTGTATGCCCAGCTCTTCTTGTTTGGTCTTCCTGTCTCTGCCTCCATTTCTAACCTTCCACGCTCCCTCACTCCCTAACTTCCTCAGTTCTACCTGTGGTTTCTTCAGCTTTGACTTCAGCCTCTAGTTCCAAAGTGAGACGGGTGACTTCCTTCCCAGGAGGAGTCCGGGCACGGCGTCCTTTCCCTTTACGGGATGAATCACACTTCAGGTGGATAAAGGTGACATGGCAGTCGGAACAGGGAGTTCCACCTGGAGAAGAACACAATTCAGTCCCATCCTAGATCCCCAATCCTAAAATCCATCTCCATTAAGGAAAAGAAGCCAGTTCAGATGCTTATGTCCTATTTCTCAATCTCCTGCATCTAGCTTTACCTGATGGAGATCTGCCTATACCTCCAAATCTCCTTTATTTTTCAGACACAAGACTGGAAGTCTTGGAAGGGTTGGAAACTAAATCATATGATCCTCTGGAAAAAAAAAAAAAAGAACCCCTCTCCTGTCCCTTGCCTACTCTGTGTGTAGGGATCTCTGCAAGTGACTCTTCTTTTATCTGATCTGACCCAGACTCTGGAGCATGAAGGACCCATAAGGTGGAGAATTTATGGGGCATCAAGTTATCTGGAGGATAACCAGGAACAGAGCCCAGAAGAGCACAGGATCTGAGGTGGGGAGGGGGGTAGGGCATGGTACTTCAGTGTACATAGAGTGAAAGAACATTAGGGCTAGAAGGGACAGATCATCTAGTTCAGGTTTGGGTTTTGTTTTGTTTTGTTTTTTAACTTGAGTTCTGTGAACTTGGTTTTTCAAGACAGTTTGATAGTATATTTTCAGTGTAATTGGTTGCTTCTGTAATCCTGTGTATTTTATTCTCTGCATTTAAAAGCATTCTTAGAAGTGGCCCTTATTCTTTACCACAATGTCAGAAGGGTCCATGACACAAAAAGGTTAACAACTCCCTGATCTAACCCAACTTGCTCATTTTAGAGATGAAGAAACAGGCCCAGAGAGGCAGTGAATTGCCCAAAGTCACAGCATAACTAGTGCCAGAGCAAAGGAGCAGGACTTGGGTCTCATGACTCCCAGTTCAGTGCCCTTTTCATGACGCCTCCTGCCTCTCGTTCCGTGAAGGTGGGCATCCAGAATCCTGACCTGATGCTGGCACTCTGCCTGCCTCCTCCAGCTTGCCCTTGTTTCGAAGGTGCAGGCGACACTTGGCATCTTTAATCTTGAAGGAAGCTCGTTGTTTGACAGATAGCACTGCTGTTTCTAAACAGAACATCAAGGGTACAGATGAATCTGAGTGCCAGCCCCAGGCTTGGGGAGGAGGGAAATGAGTATCTCATGGGGGTGGTGAGGGAAAGGAGCGAACTAGGGATCTGGAGGATATGGCAAGGGAACTGAAGGGTTAAGCAAGAAGCTGAAAGCAGGGAGTCTAAGGTTTGAGGAGGAATGTTTTAGGATAGATTAAAAAAGACAGTGGTGATTAGTGTGCAGCATTAAAAGCATCAAGGGAATTAGGGTTACAGAACTTGAGAGCAGGTAGAGAGGACATGAGGCTTCCCAAAGAGGGTTGGTAGTTGTGGGAATTAGGATAGGGGCTCACCAAGGCAATGGTGGGTACTGGTGGTGTTACCACTCCTGGATTGGGAGGAGCGGGGACTGGGCGTGCCGCAGCTTACCATGAAGCCGTTCTCTGATTCTGGGGGGAGGAGCATGTTACAGATCTGACCCACTCCCCACCCTCAAAATCTCACAGTGCTGGAAGAACCCCAGGGAGAACAGAGTGATTATCTAGACCTCCCTGGGATCTTTCCAGATCTCTTTCCTCATCACCCATAGTCTTCTCATCAGTAGCTCATTTACCTGGCAGAAATCGAGCCCGGGAGGGGCAGGTCAGAGCACAAGTGTCCTTCTTGCCTGACCTGCTACAGCTGAGCATGGCCCGAGGGGCACCAAGGCTGCCCTGGCACTTCACCAGCTCTGGGAGGAGAGACAGGGCACTAATGTATGTATTTGCCAGAGTGGAAGTAGGAGTGATAAAGTAAAACTGACATTTTCCCACTCTAGGTCCCATTACTTCAGCAAAGTAACAGTCAACTATAATTTATTCCACTCTTTATATGTCTTAGGGCTCTTTGCTAGAACCTTCTTTTCTACCCTCATCTGATTAAAATGGGAGCCTTACCCTTTACAGTCACTGGCTCAGGATGGGGAACATTCCACCTGCCACCCCATTGCTCTTCCGGGCTCCCTAGTTCCTAGCTCTGAAACTTACTGAAGGCAGTGCCCACCATGGCCAGCAGAGGGCATTACACACCTGTGCAGTCCTTGCCATTCCAGTGCAGGCGTCCCTGGCCTGAAGGGCAGGTGCACTGATAGCTCCCAGGGGTGTTGATGCAGCCAAAACGGCAACCTCCTCGGTTAATGCTGCATTCGTCCACATCTGGAGATAAAAGGAGGACATCAGGAGGCTGGTGTTAGGCGATGGAGGAACTCCGCTGGGGTTCCTGTCATCCCTAAGACGACTACCAGCTCCAAAGAAAGCCGGGAAAGAAATGATTCTTGGCAGAAAGGGGCTCTTGGCCAAACCCTGATCTAGTCATACCTGAAGTTTGCTTTTATTTGCTTTCTCATAAGTTCTAACCCTAGAGCTATTCTAAAATCACAGAAATGAGTGGCCAGTGAAAAGCTCCAATAAGCACAGACTTATTAAAAAGTAAATTTAAAAATTTGATTTCAGGTTGGACTGTGGCGAGTCTTGACCCATCTCCTGCCTAGAGTCATTTCTGTCCATAGCCACTGTCTGGAACCTACCCTAACCCTACCTTCAAAGCTCCTTCTCAGCTCTATCTATTCCTCAAATGCCCAACGCTATGAAAGGAATGGACTTGTCCTATTCTCAACCAAACCAACTGCAGGACTGGGCTTTAGAGTCAAGGGGAAAAGTTAGGAGGAAGCTCTGTTACGGGCAGGACACTATGATCAGATACTCAGCTGCTTATAATGTAAACAGGAACCTTGGGCACATGGCTATGACCTTATTATTACCTTTTCCCTTGGCATGTAACATCCTCCCTTCCCAGTTCTTCCTCCCAGGAAGGGTGAGGGTTTAAGTACTGGTTAGTTTGGGCATGTCAGACGTGGTCCAGACAACAGGTTAACCTCTGTAATTAATGTGTAATAACTTAACTGTCCTCTGAGATTCAGCCTAGCTAAGTTCAGAGAGGCTTATCATCAGAGAGTTGGCCACCAGCATTTCTGGAACACTATTTACTAAGACATGGAGGGATTGCAGCCTGCACCAGTAGAGGGAGCACTCCTATCATAAGTGCTTGGGCTGAGTCCTTGGCTGTCTCTGAGTATGCTTGGGAGGAGGGCGATGTCTTTTGTGATCTAAGGCTATTTGGAAGGATACTGAGCATCAATCTTATGGACTTATGTATAGTGACGACAGCATGAGTGGCTAGAGCTGTGTTGCTTGGGTTCGATGATCTAGGTCCATGTATTTCCAAGTATTGGCACCACAGTAGATATTATGGGATATTGGCCACATGGGATGTTTGCCCATGACCTGTAAATTATGACTTAGTTCTGTCTGAACTTGCAGCACTCTATGCCTTCTAACTTGGAGGTCTGAAGTATGCATCAGCTTCTCCCTCTGAGCCCCCAGCAGTCCCCCATCCATGCTGTCCAGAGGAAGTGAAGACATCAAGGGCAGACATGTTATGATGGTGAATTATCACATGGAAATTCCTGTAAAGGTAGGTACATATTGGGGATCTAGGAGTCCTACCTCTCAGAACCTGTCCTAGTCTTTTCCTTTTCATCATAATTCATTCAGGCACCAATACACATGGACATACAGTTAGAAGGACAGAGCAGGATTAGTTCATTTGGTGAGGTAAAGAGGTCACACTGGGTTGGTGAAGGGTAAGGGCCCTGGGTGGGCTAAGGAAGGCATGAAGGGCCAGGAGATAAAGATCGAATTGGGTTAATGGCAAAAGGTCTCTGGCTCACCCCCACAATGGGTGAGCCCATAGAGCAGGTAGCCTCGGTGACAGAAACACTGGAAGCTTCCTGGGGTGTTGACACAGATGTGGTCACAGGTTCGGTCGAAGGAGCACTCATCAATATCTGGAGGCGAAATTGGGGATAGTCAAACCATGTTCCCCAGGGATTTAAGCCCCTTAACCTACGCTCTGGCATCTAGACCCCATGCCCACCTCTACCACCGGCCAGGGCAGACTGAGGATGTTGTAGAATGACAGAACCCAGCCAAAACCTCCCACCCCTAAGAGGGAGTCTGTGTCCTTAATGGATCCCTGCCTAGATTTGAGGAGGGAAGAGTAATGACAAGTGGCACCAGAAGGTGAGGACTGAGGAATTCGAAGGGTTCAGGTCCAAAGAGACCAGGGAAGAAGGAAGGGGATGTCATGTCGTTGGTTATTGTAGTGTCTGCCTGGTTTTGGATGCCCACCTTCCCTCTTCCACTGCCCCCCCCAATGAGAATTCCCTGCCTCTTTGCCCCTAACTCTCTGTCCTTCATCCCCACAGTCCCTCTGCTAACCTGCTCCTTGACCCCTCTGCCCAAGCTCATACTCACCCTGGCAGCTCCGCTCATTGATGAGCAGCTTGTAGCCTTTCTTGCAGCTGCATTCAAAGCTGCCAACTGTGTTTCTGCATATGTGGTCACAGCCCCCATTGTTCAGGCGGCACTCGTCTATGTCTGAATTGGAGGGAGTTTAAGGATAAAAACAGGGAAAAGCAAAGAGATGAATAAGTGGAGACCCAGAAGATTGAGGGACAGAAATAAAAACCCCAACAACACACTGTAACAAGGGAGAGTCATGGTGAGTCAGAGGACCTGGGATAAGCTCTGCCTGCCTTTCTCATTCCTCTTTCTTCCCTCCTCCCTCTAAAGGAGTCTGTGCTCCTTCTCCTTCCTGGGGCTGAGTTCCTAGATGAGGAGCTGGGGGTAGGAGAGAAGATGACCATTAAGCTCTCAAAGAGTGAACTAGGACCCCAAGAGAAAAAAAGGGCGGGGTCTAGTTGGAGAAGGGAACTGGGGACCATTTAGCCTCCTCTTTCTCCCTCTCTACCCATGAAGGTAGTTGAGAGGTGAAATACGGAGTTTCTTCCTTAACCCCTTGGCAGAGTCAGTGTGAGGAACCTTGAGGAGGATGAGGAGAGGGGCCTGGGTAAGGGACACTAAGATGGGAGTTGAGAGGTGGGTGGCATAGAAAGCGCAGAGGGAGGAGAAACTGGGAAAGGGGCCAGGTTGGGAGGGAGAGATAGAGAGAAGCCAGTGATAGGTAACTGAGGGGGTGATCGGAGGCCAAGCAGGGGAACTAGGCTGGGAGGGTTCTGGAGAGAATCAGGCCTGAGGCAGCTTTCAGCACTGGCTTGGAGAGGGCGGAGGAGTAGGGGTTGCTTCCTTCCCGAGGTCAAGTTCCTTGAGTTGGTGACAGACAGGACCCAGGCGACTCACCTCTCAGTTGGGAGGGTAGGAAGGAGTGCAGAGGGCAGACTTCTACTCTGCTCTTAACATACCTGTCAAAAGTCCTCCCAAGCCGGAAGCCCCCTAACTCTGGCTGTCTGACCTGTGTGCCCCACCCCTCCCCCTTCTTCTGTGGCAGCTGTTCCACAGAGAGATACAATGAACAAGGCCAAAAAGCTTATAGCAGCCCCCACTGCCTTTTCCTGCGAAAAGGAGGGGTTGAAGGGGAGGAGGAATAGAACAAAAGATGATGGGTCAGTGCTTTCAATATGACTCTTTCTCCCCCATGGAATTGGCTATTAGAGGGGTGGAGATGAAGGGGAATGGGAGATAACTGTGGAACAGAAAATGTGGGGAAACACCTCCACAGATTTTTAAGGGGAGTAAGGCTGCAGAGGTAACGTCATCAAAACAGGCAAAGAACATGCCTATGACATCAGGCACCAGGGCACAGCCAGGGGTAAACTGCTGTCCTCTTGCCTCCCCTTTGGTCTTTGGCCAGTTATTAAGAGCACAATTCCTTAACAAGGTAGTCGGGGAAAGGGAAAAGTTAGGAGGGGATGATAGTGTGGTGAAGGATACAGGGCAAAGAGGAGAAAGAAAAGAAGGGATGGGATTAGGAAGTGGGTAGAATGGAGGGGACACTACATAGGATAGAAATAGATTGTATTAGTGTACCCCTTAAACTGAGCTGAGAAATATGGATAGAAAAACTGGAGCTGTAAAAAATGGAGTGACAGCATGGCATAGTTAAAAAAAGACTGGAATGGAAGTTGGGAGACCTGGGCTCTAGTTCTTGCTCTGCCACTAATCAACTGGGTGATCTTGAAAGTCACTTCAGCTGTCTAGTACTTAGTTACTGTTTTGAAAAAATATATACACACACACACATATACGTATGTATATGTATATGTATGTATATATGAAATTTAATTTAAATAAATTTGAATTATATATAATTGAAATAAATGAAATTTAGTTTAAATTTATATATATATTTCAATCCACAAAAATCTGCCTTGGATTCCAGCTCCTCAACCTCCCTGCTTCCATTCAGAACCAAGATTTAGTTTCTCAGTTTGAAAAATGAGGGGTTTTGAGAAGATGATCTTTTAAGTTCTCTTCTACTTCCTAAATACTGTAATTCTATGATGGTGTGAGATAGAGTTGGGGGTGGAGTGAGCAGGAGTATCTGCTAAGAAGAATTTCTGACACGTATGTTAAAAAAGTCCACCCTTTCTTCTGCTTTCCCCACCCCCAAATGGAAGGTGGGCAGCCTGGGTCCTGTCCATCACCAGCCGTAGGACAGACATGTGTTTTCTGTTCTCTGAAGTTAGAGGGTCCTCCATGGACATAAACTAGGGAGACTTGGTCCCAGCCGCTATGGGCCTTGGATGCCATAATTGGGAGGAAGTGACCCCTGGCTCACGGTCTCTCCCCCCACCCCTCATCGCTGGCCTGTGTCCTCACCAGGGGTTTCCTCACCTTTGCAAGTCTTTCTGTCAGACTGTAACATGAAGCCCACGGGGCAGCTGCAGTGGACACCAGTAGCCGCATCATGGCACTTGCTGTCACATCCACCGTTGTTGACAGCACATGTCTCTGTTTTGGGGGGGGGAGCGGGGGAGGAGGGAAAAGAACGTTATTGACCGGGAGAGGCCTCCACACTCAAGCTCAGTGGAGGCAATCGAGGTCCAGAGTGGGAGGCCTCAGCCCACTCAGTGACCTCACTCAGTCTGGGGAGAAATCTTGGAGTCCAGGCTCCTATCCCCCTCTCCTTCCCCTCTGCAAGTGCAGCCAAGCAGCCAGCTTCCCTGCCCCCAACTTGATTGAAACAAGGTGGACAGCAGTGAGGCAGGTACAAGCCAGAGCTGTCAAGGAGGAATGTGCTGAAGGGGGGTGGGGGGATGGGAGGAGTTTAAAGGGGGAAAAAGTCAAGTAGGAGTGGAGGGAGCTAGAGTGGGTCTGTCTCTCAGCAACAGAGATGAGTAGATAGGGCTCCCCTTTCTTCCCATCCTCCATCCCCTTCTTTTAAGACTGATGGGGGTGGGGTGGGGGAGAGAGTTTAACTGAGGCTAGGGGGGAGGGGCAGGTCTAGGCACCGACTCTCCAAGGACAGGGCCTAGTATCCTCAAGTCAGTAGCCTGGCAAGGGATTGCCAGAGTTCACTGAGTCCATTCCTCCCCTTCTTGAACTGCCCTAGGCTGAAAAGTGCCTATTCATCTTTAGAAAAGACACCACAACATCTCGTGGTTCCAGTGATTTCCACCGCTGGGCATCTGAAAATGCATCTCACCTAACCTAAAGCCCTCCCAGTTTAGGCCTATTTCCTGTTGTGTTGTCCTGGATGGAATCGAGCCAGATGCTCTTGAGCTCACAAAGACATTTTCTCTCCTCATTTCATCAGGAGGACATATGTAGGGTTTGGGGGAGGATGGATTTGGGAAAGAAATGATGCAGAGAGGAGGGAACATCTTGGGAATATGGGATGAAAGAGATGGAGAGTCACAGAGCCAAGAGATCATTTGAGACCTAATAAAAACCATTACTTTCAAGCTATATTCCTTCTGTTACCTCTGCCCTGATTCTATAGATCTTCCAATTTTGGAAGGAATCAGTATCTGGAGAAAGGTAAAGGGTTGAGGCTGGTCCCCTTCTTTCCTGGAGCCTGAGCAAGAGCAAATAGGCTTAAATGGCAACAGAAGAGATTCAGATTAGATGTAGGGAAAACCACCCGCTTATAACCATGCAAGGCACTGAAAATAGGTGGGCCAGTGAGATTGTGGGCTTTTCTCAAACCTGAGACCCTCCTTTAAAATGAGAAATCCTTAGGTTTTGGCTTTAGGGGAGTCCCTAATAAAGAACCCTGGGATCCCTGCAGCAGCAACAGAAGCTTGGGAACCAGGACATGGAAGAGATGAGCTCTAGAGGCTGCTGCCAGCTTGAGTAAACTTTGACCCACAAGTTCAGGCCCTACCCTTATTACTTTGGGGAGCAGGCCCAGGATTCAGAATGTCCTGGGATTACCTCACTTCTGCCTCTCTACGCAGAGCTCCCTGACATGTCCCATCCCCTCCTTGCACATGGAGCCTGGACCATGACAAAGGGATGGTATTTTGTTCAAATGAGTTGCAGCGCTTTATCCAACTCACCTCCTCCCTCATCCCACCTCCTAGATTCTAGTTTTGTTCTGTTTTGTTTCTCCTTGACTTTCTGAAAAGGCGAAGTAGGATCTAAATGGATGCAGGACTGCTTTGGGATATCCTTTATCTCATTCCCAGACTCAGACTCTCTCAGGTTTCTCCAAACCAATGTGGAGATATTGAGAACTTTGGGATGGAACCCTGAAATCTTCCCCAAACCCCAACTTTGACGTAGGAGCTAATGTTCTGAAAGTGGGGCTGAGCCCAAGAGCCTCAAGTGAGGGGAATAGAAACATTATTTCAAATACCTTCTTAGGGTCCTAAGGAGGAAGTGATACCCTCGGGGCATAAGGTAGACAACACTGCTGAGAAAAAAAATGCCTCCAAGATGGTCCCAGAAAGCCAAGCACTAGCTACTGTGATAAGAGCAGGGCAGCCATTTCCAGGTGACTAGAATAGCACCAGGGTCAGGTCAGGAGAATGGAAGTCTCTCTTCCTTGGGCTCTCCAGTTTACCAACCCTTGGCTTCTTGAAAAAGCACTGGGGGGTTCTAGAGGGCTGGGGAGTTAGGAGAATGGAACTAGAGGGATCAGGGGCCTGAGAAGCAAGCACCTTTGGGGAAGGATGGCCTCTGATTATCAGCATCCTCCCGCCTGGTTACACACAGAGGTGTGTAGGGTGGAGCTGACTGTACCTTTAGCTGTACAGAAGAGTATAGGAAAAGATAAGAAATGACAGCTGTGTCTGAGGGACAGTTAGGAACTCAAAGGAAAAGTAGGTAAGGGAGTCACTGGGGGCAGAGGGAGGAAGAAGGAACAAAGAGGGGGGAAAGGAAAGCAGAGGAGATAAAGAATAAGGACAAGCAAGACCGACAAAGATTCTTTGGCTAGCTCTTGGGGGCCCAGGATTTCTGCCACCCAGGTTCCCTCCTGTCCCCTCAGTAGGGCTGATGCCCAGGTTGCCAAGGTGAGCCTGGTTGGTAGGCTGGGGCCCAGCCAGGCCTAAGTGGGGCCAGGCCTGGTGGGGCATGCAGTTAGTGGGAGCCCCCAGCGGGTTAGTCCCTCCCTGAGCGAGCGAGCGAGCGAGCGAGCATGGAGAGAGCAGGTATATTTACCATTAGAAACGGCCTGGGGGGGGATGTGCTGCTCTAGCCGCCTTTCCCCTGTTTGACATTGTAAAAAAGCTGTTTAGATGATGGGCAGGAGACACCTGGCCCTCTGAGCCCTAGCCCCTGCCCTTAGGACTGGAGCCAGAAAAGCCCCAAATAGTGAACCTTGGGATTCTTATAGCCACTTTATTTCCAGAGCCCTCTTCCTTTCTGGCATCTGATTTTTCTAACTACAACACACAGGGGCTAGGTTCACCCTCCCAATAGTGTAGTTGGGAAATTCAGGGTCCAGAGAGTTAGACCCACATCACATTGATGGTAAAGATATGGACGAAACTCCCATTTCCCAAATCCTAGTTGAATGCACTTTACTTGTCTCTGAGACTAATTGTCTGTCTTCCTAAATAGACTGAGAGTACTATCATCCCCAAACATTCTTCAGAACGCTCCTTCCACTAATAAACTTGGAATGGGGAGAATGTGGAGAGCAGGAGAAAGACAGAAAATTAACTCTCTAGGGGAAGGGGAGAGGCGTTGGAAAAGGGACCCACTGTAGTTCAGGGAAAAACCACATTCTCTTTTGGTCATGAGATAAGAGAGCAGAAAAGGATATAGGAATTAGAATGGAACTCAAGCTAAACAGGCATATCAACTGTGTAATATCTTTGTTTTTTGTTTTTTTTTTAAAGCAAGCCTGACTTTGAGATATCTGAATAAAAAGAAACCAGTCGATTTCTCTACCAGGCTTAAGCCTGGCCCAGACTATGACCAAGAATCTGTTCTGAGCTTCATGATTTAGGAGGACGGTGGGGACATGTGAGACAGGGGCAGAGAGCCCCAGAGAGTACCGGAAGGTGGGGGTAGGGAAAATGGAAGAAGAGTAAATAATCCAGCCTGAAAAAGTGAAGACTCTGTGAATACCAAAAAATGTCTTAATTAATGAAGATGAATACATAGAGAGAAAATGTAGTGGCAGGGATTTAAAGTTAAAATAAGGAAGAACCATGAGGGATGTTAGTCTTTCGAACAGGTGACTAAGGGAAGTTGTACAAAAAAAACAAAATCAGAGATCTCTGAGTACAAAGGGACAATCGTGTTCTTGGGGTCTGGGGAAGGGGCAGCACTGCCTAACGTATAAAGCCTGGATCTCTGGGACAAGGAGACTGTTGATATTGAATGTTACATGAGGTCCACATCATCAGGATGTCCGGGGACCAACCCAAGACATTCCACTTTCTCCTTTCTGGCTGTGTGGTCTTGGGCAAAACACTTAGTCTCTGGAACTCTAGTTTCCTTATATCTATAAGAGTAATAATAATGGTTGAGGGGAAAGTGCTTTGTAAACTTGGAAGCGCTAGAGAAATGGGAGCTATTATTAGGATTCCTGCCATTTTATTACCCATAGTGGCTGTTCTGAAATATCCATCAATGAAAACAAGCTCTGCAGAAGGAGAGAAGTGCAAAAAAGGGGAAGGGGGTTTGACTAGTTCAGGGAACAACCCATTCTCTTGTGTTTCTCTTGGCTATAAGAGCTCCTTTGAAGCCCAGGATTCAAACCGTGTCCAGACTCAGCCCAGCAGAGCCCTGTCAGATTGAACCGAAGGGATCTCTAAGTCCTTTTTGGTCCCTCACCTCTCTGAAATGACTGCCTTTCCCCCCTCCTCCCTCACCTCCTTGGGAAATTGGTTTGTTTTCCTGACAGAATAGTTTAAATTAAATGCATATCCATTAAATGCATTCAGTCAAATCCACTAAATGCTTAGTGAACTGAATTGTATGGGACTGAATTAACAACCCTGTGACTTGAGAGACAGTGTGTAGGGCCCAGGAACTAAGGAAATAGGCTCATATATAGATAAGCAAAGACTAAGGGAATAGAGGCCTAGGACTGAGGAGGTGAGGGGCCTGGAGCTGCTGAGGAAGGGAAGGGTCATAAGGAGAAAGCTGAGAGGGAATATCATTCTCAAATCATGAAGGAAAAGAAGAGAGAGAGAGAGAGAGACAGGATGCAACGGGGAGTGCCAGAAAGAAAGTGAGCAAAAGGAAAGAAGGGAGTGACAAAGAAGAGGGGAAAAGTCCCTAGAGCCAAAAGAATCCCAACCATTTGTCCACCTATTCCAGGCCCTGCTTCCTATAAGTGAGAAAGGTGCCTGACTGCCTCACCCCCTTCTCCCACCACCTTGGTGTGCAAAGAGGATTGTGCCAGGTCTTACTCAACTCCGTCAGTCATTGTGGGGATTGGCTAAACCCAAGAGTCTTCTCTGGTTTGAGCCCCCAGTCAGGGTGAAGCAGCTCCTTTTCTCCAGTTCTCCCCTTCCAGCCAAGATGGTGGGCTCTCCCCTTCCCTCTCGGAGAAGTTTCTGGTGTCTGTTAGGCCACGGCTGCTGAGCTAGGACACCCTTCCCCTACTCAAACTGCATCTGTCCCCAGGGTGGCCCATTTGGGCTCCCTACCTCTACCCCTTGCCCAGTGCACATTTGCCACTCTGTTCCCATGCTTCTTTCTCCCAGAGCTTTACCCACCAATGCATGTCTTTCCATCAGTGTGTAGAACAAACTTGACATGGCAGCCACATTTGGGTCCTTGTTCTGTGTCATCACACGTATGCTGGCAGCCACCATTGCCATAGTTACATGTCACTGTGAGTCAGGGGAGAGGGAACACTGAGGTGCTCAGTGGTTACGTTCTCCCTAGGTACTACCCCTAAATTAAGAACACTGACCCAGCTTGGTTAGTGGTTCCTTTTCAGAGTCCCCTGGCCCTTCCCTTCCCCATATTTCTTTACCCCACTATTCTCTTCCTCCCCTGACCGTGCCCTCTAAGCCCCTCTATCCATCCCTTGCAGTTTTCCCTTCCTTTCTCTAGCACCCCAACTTACATTTGCAGTCTCGCTGGTTCTTGGTAAGCTCAAAACCTGGGCGGCATTCACAGGCAATACCCCCTTTGGGTGTTTCACGGCATATATGGGCACAGCCGTGGTTCTTGTTCATGCAATTCATTCCTTCTAAAGGGGAAGAAGAATATACTAGCTATGCAGCTTCTGGGCACGGGGAATCAGGGAACTAGGGAACTGCTTGGAGAACAGGGCTTGGTGATCAGGAAGACCCAAATTAAGGGTCTAAGCCCTCCTCTGACTTTATCTTAGAGAGAGGTGGCTAACCCTTGATCTGAGAGGCCTTTCCTTGTTCCTAGCACACTCCTATGGATACTAAAGTGCCACTGCATGACAGGCACCAGTTGGCACAATAAACCTGGATTAAGCATCTATTCATTCAAATTATGTAGCATTACCTGTTTGTTCCTCTTCCCAAAATATCTCAGTCTGCTCAGCCTTCTATTCAGTCAACCAGGAAATGCCTAAGCACCTACCTACTGATTTATGCACAGTAGGACACGGAGAATTACAGGACTTTGTCCCTACCTTCAAGGAATAGTCTAGTTAGGGAGATAAGACATACATATGAAAAGTTAGCCGACAACTGTAAGGTCAAGTGTAAAACATGTCCAATGAATGGGACAGATAGTAAAGACTAAGATGTGAAGTCACTATGAGCTATATAATACACAGTTCCAGTTACTAAGGACAATGCATTGTGGGGTAGTGGGAAAGATATTAGATTTGGAGTGAAAGTCTTGTTCTTTGTCACTTAAATAAGGAGGTACCCAGTGTTCAGTGTTGGTAGTTAAGGGATCTGTGGTGGAGAAGGTTTAGCTCCCTCTGACACTACCCCAAGGCCAAAACATCCCATCTCCTCTGCTCTGCATCTGACTCCACAGCCTCTGTTCCAAACCACAGCATAGAAGGTCTTCAGATGCTGAGCAGAGCACAAAGCATAAGGGACTAAACATTGAACCCTCTGAGAGAGGCAGCAGCCCAGGCAAGCCCACGTGTCTAGAGTTATACCCTACCTGGATCCACAAGGCACCCCTTTTGACTCCCCAACCCCATACCACCCACAATCCCACTTACCTCATACCTACCCCAACCCTATACTTATTTTCAAACCTATGCTGACTACCATCTCATACTTACCCTATTCCAACACTGACTTCAGTCCTATAACCACATTGAGCTTATACCTAACTCTACATAGCTAAGGAGCCAAGTGCCCCAGTGAACAGAGCTCTGGGCCTGGTGTCAGGAAGACCTGAGTTCAAATGCAGCTGCAGACACTTACTCTGGGCAAGCGATTTTATCTCTGTCTCAGTTTTCACATCTGTAAAATGGGGATAATAATAACACCTACCTCCCAGGATTGTTGTAAAGATCAAATGAAATAATAATTTGAAAGCACTTAGCACAGTGCCTGGCACAGATGCACTACATAAATGTTAGTTATTGTTATTGTTATTATTTTTATTACACTAACCCTTACCCTTACTCCATACCAGTTTCTAGTCCTATACTACCAGTCTGAGATCACACTGAACATACACTTGCATAACCCTTCTCTAACATCAATTCTACACTGACTCCTATGGGGCTGCCTTCTCCTGTAACCTACAGTGACCCTGTGTGGAACTAAGGCCTCATGGAACCCTTGGGCATAGTGAAGGGGATATAGGAGAGTAGAGTCACATGGCTGAGGTGGTGGAGAATGAGAAGGGTCTGCAGGTAATAGAAATAAGGGCTTGGGGAGGGTGGGGAAAGGAAATGGTCACTCTCTGACACTCTAGACACTGACCTTCTGGCCTCTGGATACAGGTGTGCTGGTTGTCACTGAGGAAGAAGCCGTCTCGACAGAGGCACTCATAACTGCCCATCATGTTGATACAGCTCTGCTGACAGCCCCCATTGCCCTCAGCACACTCATCTAGGTCTGCGGATCAAAAAAAAAAAAATGATTAAAGAAGCTTTGGGGACCAGCTACTACCTGGGGAAGTGAGGTAGGGTAAATAAGTAGTCCCTGAAAGTGGAAGGATATGACAGCTTGATGGTCCCTCCCCACCTCCTCCCTGTCTTCCCCCCCCAGCCCTGAGGTGGGGGCCCTGGGAAGAGAGAATCACAGGAGAAAGGTCTGGAAGGGGCTTTAGTGAGCACTTAGTCCAGCCTCTTCATTTTACAGGGGAAGAAAATGAGGCCCAGAGGAGTTCAGTGTCCTGGGTGACAGACAAGACGACGTCAAGCAGCAGAACCACAAGTCAAAGACTCCACATCTAATATCTGTCCCACTACACCATAACGTGTCGTCCTTAGTAAATGGAGCAAGTCTCCACCCCCTCCCCCAACCCCAGTTCGGCACACACCATTGCCTACTCTGCTTAGCATGGAAATATAAACCAGAAGAAGGGCAAAGCTCAGGGTCATGAAAGTGGGGAGAGGGAGTCTCCTGATAGGTTCCACATAGGTGGTACGTAATACCGATCTGCCCAGACCTAGAAGAATAAGCTGGAAGAGGAGTTAGTGAAATGGGGAATCTCAGGAGATGGAGAATAGGTTATGATGCTGCTAAAGGAAAGCAAAAAAAAGAAAAAAAAATGGAAATGAATTTAGCAAGGGTCTTATGGCTGTGAAATCAGAGCAGACCAAGTCCCAGGCTCTCTGTAGGGCAGTGACCATTTCTCTGGACAGGGCAGACGCCCCGATACTCTCTCCTTCTCTCTTCCCCTTCTCACCATTCCACCCCCCCTCCCACCGCCCCCAGCCTGGGCTTACTGCCACACTCCCCAGCCTCTCCTATTTTGGTTTAACAAAACAAAGTTTAGCAGTCTGGGAGGGAGAGATGGAGGAAGATAGTGAACAGCCAGGCCACACCCTTGGCTCTGGGGGACTGAGAGAGGGCAGAGAGGTTCTCACCCCAAATTTACACCCCTCACACGTCTGGGTCAAGCTTCCTTGATTGCCAACAGCCATCCAGCTCCTGGGCTCTTTCAAATCTTTTCAGACCGTATAGTGCATCTCCCAAATCCTGCTTGCCAATGCAGTTCCAAACAGCATCACGAGTCCCTCTTTGTTCAGCCGGACCCAAGGGGAAAAGGCAGTTCCTCTGAGGAGTCCCGGATGCCTCCCCTTCCCCTCTGCTGACCCCTAGCAGCCTAGACCATCCCTGCTGCAGGCACTGGCAGAGGAGGCTGACCTAGATCCCCTTAGTTCTTAGTCTCGACATCACCTACAGGGAAGGAACTCAGGAGCCCCAGATGGCCAGCCCTTAAGGCAGCTTTCCTATCTGACTTGTGTTGCTTTTAGCAACTGGTCCCACCGACCAGTTGCCCAAATCAGAATGCCAGGAACTCTGTAACAAAAGAGCAGGAGGCATCTTCGTAATGAAAGAGTAGACCAGGGTATGAGCCTTAGGCAGACTGGGGTCTAGGGTTAGGTGACTGAGGTAGTGTTATGAAAGGGAAGGCATGAAGGCACAAGATGAATATAAGGGGATAGAGTGGAACTAAGGCTGAGGAGCTTTGGTTTGTGCCTTTTGAGTCCCAGAGTGAGAAGGCTTTCCTTAGCTAATGATGGCAAGGAAATAGTCAATTTGGAAAGGTTGGAGGTTGAGTGAGACAGAGCTTGGTTGAATGTTTTGGGGTCAGATCATCCCTTTTACCTCTCCCTTCATGGAGTGTGGCTCCTAATTTCCCCTCTCTCCTTGGCCCTGGGACTAGCAGTAAATTAGGAGTAGGTAGTTGGTGCATTGGATAGAGTGTTGGACATGAAGTTTGAGAAGACTTGAATTCACATCCTGCCTCAGATACTTATTAATTGTGTGACTCTGAACAAATCACTTAGCCTTAGCATCTTTATCTGTAAAATGGGAATAATAATAGCATTTACTTCAAATGGTTGTTGTGGGGATCAACTGACATGACATATGTAAATTGCTATGTAAACCATAGAGCCCCATATAAATGTTAGTTATTATTGGGAAGGACTCCTGGATTCCATCCCAAATGCTTTTCTACTCCATTCCTTGGTTTTTACACCGGAGGAGAATCTGGGCAGAGACCACTTCCTTATTCTGCCTTTCCATTCCCATAGGAATTTCCCTATCAAACATCCTAGATGTACAAAGACTAAGATCTGAAGTTCTGGGTCCTCAGGGGCTTCCTCATTGCTGAACTCCAAGTACTGGGACTCCAGGAACAGCCCAAGGCCAAAGGCTGTCCAGTCCTCTTACTCTCTTCTCCATCAGACCTCCTCACCTCATATAGAGGCAGGCAACCAGAAAAGACTGGGGAGCCATAGAAATGAGGAGAGGGAAGAACCTCTCTCTCTTTCTCTCTCTCTCTCTCTGTGTTATTTGTGTGGACTTCCTTGAAGATGGTTCTCCCACTGATTGTGTTCTTTGACACAGACTGAGTGAAAGTGGCATGTGATTCTCCACTCCTAGATCTACCTCAAGGTGCCTAAATTTAGGGTATTGTCCATCAGTGCTCCTGAAATTTTTTCTATCCGTGTGCAGGATGAATTCATCCTTAGGGGCTGTTCCACATTAGAGAATAACCCCTTCTCACTTGTCTCAGAAGTCAGGCACTCCAGGCTCTTAGGTAGAGGTATTAGTCATGGCAAGTAGCCCTGCAGAAAGGAGAATTTTTACTGCCCCACTCCTTGACTGAGAAATACTGGTGATCTCCGTCCCTCCTCCCCTACAGTTCCCCTGCTCACCCAGACAGTTATGTCCATCGTGTGCCAGGTGGAAGCCATCATAGCAGGTGCATCGGTAGTTACCAGGGATGTTAACACACTCATGTACACAACCGGCATTGTCGTCCCGCTCACACTCATCCACATCTGAGGGAGAAGAAAGGCTAAGACAATGATCAGGCCCTACCTGTCCCAGCGATTCCACCACCAAACACCCAAATCTTCCTGGGTTCCTTCTTTCCTTGCACAAGATCTAGAATCTGAGGACAGACGTTCTCAAGACTAGAGGATGGCAGGTCTTTCCCCTCCAAGTTAAGGACTATGCATGATTTCCCATGGTGCTATTGGCTGGCTCTCTCCTCTCCTTTTCCAGGTGCTTCCTCTCCCCAGCCTCACCTTTGCAGTGTTTGCCATCTCCACTATAGCCAGATTTGCAGATGCACTTATAGGAACGGGGAGTGTTCTGGCAAATGGCATCAATGTGGCAGTTGTCGGTGCCTTCCACACATTCATCCACATCTATTAGGAGAGAGAAGATGAAGGTCAAGTGGGATCTCTGCCATCATCCCCCCCCAGAGGAGTTTCCTCAGTACAGGTGTGGTCCTCTCATCTTCAGAACATAAGCAGTGGACACTTCAGAGGCCATTCACTCACCCATATGTACTTGCTTCCCACCTAGTGTCAGACTTGGGATAAATCTAGAAAACAGAGTGATTTTAGGGGCCCAGGAAGTTCTCCCTACCCAAAAGCACCGATTTCATTATTCCCAGATGTCTAGAATTTCAGTTAGATATTTGTTTCTTTGCTTTATCTTGATCCTTGGTTAAAAAGCAAATACCTCTAGTGTGGAAAACAGTGAGCTATCAACATCTTAGTAGGAATGAATTTACTGTATCTTTTCCTGAGAGAAGGTTTTAACAGGAAGAATGAAGGAGAAAGCAAGAAGTTTGAAAATGGAATGAGTGTCATTAATAGAGTAACAGAATGCTCTTAGGCTGATTGACAGGAGCTGACTATCCTCGCCAATTCCAGCCCCCTATAGCTGCCCTACGTCCCATGCTACAGGCAGCTCCTGTTCCTCTTGGGTTATCAGTTCGTCCAAGCACCCAGCCCTAGCCCAGCCCATCTTTATCCTAACGCTAAGATTGCTGGAGGTCCACAAGGCCCTGAAAGAAGAGATTCAAAGATCTAGAACCAGATGTGGATGAGGCAAAGGGTCTGGCAAGAGCTCCCCCCCTGGGACTGAGGCCCTGTACTGTTGGCATTACTTATAAGAGCCCTTCCCACAAAGACCCCAACCTGCAAAATAATTTAAGGACTAGATTAAATGGCTTTCTTAGATGTCACCAGGTGTAACCAACCTCAAAGGTAATCAATGTGAAATATGTTATCTGTGTCAATGATCTGAGATTTCATGCATTTGGGATCTCCAGAGGCAAAAGCAAATCTGTATCCAGATATAAGTATAGCGATATCTTTTCATCTTAGTGAGGTACATATTGTTCAGAGAGGACAAGGGACTTAACACTGCCAGTAAGCATTAATCAACCAATCAAGCATCAGAGGCAGGATTTCAACCCACGTCTTGCTGATCTCAGTTCCTACATTCTATTTCCAATAGCGTTTTACCTTCTTGAATAAAACAGAAACTAGAAAATTATAATTTACTAGGAAAACTTATTTAAGAAAGAGGATACTGTGATAAGTATAAAGGGAAGGGAGGTGTTGATCATAGTGTCCAGAAAAAGGTGCTATTTTTACTTTATACTTGTAAAGTTTGCTTTGATTTTACTTTTAAAGTGAGGTATTTGTAAAGCATTTGGCACAGTATCTGGTATATAGTAGTTGCTTAATAAAAGCTTATCTTCCTTCTTATACTTTACCTCTTTACTTTATAGAAAGAATTGGTTTATAGCTTCCTAGAACAGTCCACAGAAGAAAAACACCATAATGGAGGGAATATTCCAATCTCATCAAAAGTTTATAAAGCTCTCAGTTAAGAGACCAGACTGTGATAATCCCCTAAAGAACAGCACCAGTGAGAATGTGTCTGAAACAGCTCAACCATCCTCTTCTTCATTACTGCAAGATCCCAGTTAGGTGAAGGGACAAACTTGTGAGTACAAGTGGGAGCTGGAGAGCATGGAGTCCCAGGGCAGGAAAAGGAAAGCAGGTGGTGTGGGGAAGGGATGTCAAATACCCTGCCCCACACCAGCTTTTCCTTTGCTTCCTCTTCCCCTATGACTTTCATCCCAACTCTCCAGGGGTGGGGAACCTGCAGCCCTCTTCACCCTTAATAAAAGGGTTTGTTCTGTAAAACTTGGACTCAGTCAAAAGACCACACCCAAGGACCTAGAAGGCCACGTGTGACCTCGAGGCTTCGGGTTTCCCATCTCTTCGTTTAGCCACTTACTGGCTCAATGAATGGCTCCAGGAGCTGAGATCTGCCTATCTGTCTGCTTCTTTCCCCCACTCCTATCTCAGCACCATAGTGATGGCAGTCTGTCTTCAGTCGCAGTGAACATTTATTAAGTTTGCTGTTTCAACTTGGGGAGCCCCTATCCCAACTCAGGATGGGAGAAAAACTGATGAGAATGGGAAACAAGACTAGCACCGTGCTTTGTAAACACAGTATACATTTAATAGATGCTGGTTAAATTGAATTGATTATTCCAAATAGCAGAAGCAGAGAGAGTGGAAAACTCTCTTATAAATTTTTTCTGTCTTTAGCATGGGCTTATGTTCCACTAGGACCAGTGGTTAGGACTATGTCACAGGGGATGGTATAGAAAAGAGAATTGGGTTTTGAGTCAGAAGACCTGGGTTTTAATCCTGTTTTTGCCTTTTACAAGCTTGGCAACTCTGGGTTTCACTTTTTTGAGCCTGTCTCCTCATCTGTAAGTTGGGAATAGGGCAACCAGGTGGTGCAGTGGATAGACTTCTGGGTCTTGAGTTAGGAAGACTCATCTTTCTAAATTAAAATCTGGCCTCAGACACTTACTAGCTGTGTGACCCTGGGAAAGTCACTTCACCCTGTTTGCCTTAGTTTCCTCATCTGCCAAATGGACTGAAGAAGAAAATGGCAAACCACTCTAGTGTCTTTGCCAAGAAAACCCCAGATGGGGTCACAAAGATTCAGACATGACTGAAATGACTCAACAACAATAACAAAGGTGGGGATAAAACCTACATTTCCTACCCCATAGGATTGTTGTGAGGATCAATAGATAAAATGTATTGATGTAACTTTGGAAACCTTACAGTACTAAATAAATGTCAGCTATTATTAATCTGTGAGCTAATAGTCCCACCCTCAACATTTCATGGATCCCTTTTCTAATGAACTCCCTCCATGGATTCTGCTTCCTAGCAGAATAGACTTAAAGCTGGAAGAGACCTTAGAAGCCTTCAGATTCATCACCTTTATTTTACCAATGAGGAAACTGGAACTCAGAAAGGACAGGGAGACAGAGCTAGTAAGTGTTTGAGTCAGGATTTGAACTCGGGTTTTCCACTAAAATACTTGCATTTTTGACTGAATGTGCTGTATCCTACCCTCACCATCTCCCCTGCCCCTGGCATACCACTTTTTTTTTTTTAAAGAGCCTTTACAGTATTCCCCATCCTGAAATGTCTCATTTCTCCAACCTTCCCATCCTGCTCTTTCTTCAGAGTTTGGCTGAAAACTATGCCTACTTAGAAGCAGCTAGTGGCACAGCAGAAAGAAAGCTGGATCTGGAGTCAAGAAAGACCTGAGTTCAAATGGGGCCTCAGACAATTACTAGCTGTGTAATCCTTGGCAAGTCACTTAAACTCTTTTGCCTCAGTTGCCTCAGCTGTAAAATGGGGATAATAATAGCATCCACCTTGCAGGGTTGTGGTGAGACTCAAATGAAATGATATTTGTAAAAAGTGCTTAGCACAGCGCCTGGCACATGGTAGGTACTTCCAAAACTCATTTCTTTTAAGAAGTCTTCCCAGATTAACCCCACCTACACTGGGGCTGTTATTACTCTTTTTCTCTGTGTTACCTCAGCATTCATGGATTCAATTGACAATATTCTCATTTGTACTTATTTGTAATATATATAATATATCAGTCAATGTCTCTTGAAATGAATCATGCTACTTCTGTCCCTACTTGCTTCAGAACACTCTGCTTTGTAGATGTTAAGTCATCTCATGGTATCTTGGTTTTGCCAAACTCACTATATTGGTTGCCCCCCATATCATTCTTCATTGGTCCTTAGCAAAACTAGAAATAGGGCAAAGTTCATCTTTGGCTCTTGAAGAAACTTGTCCCAGCACTCAAACACTCCAGGCCTCACACTACGTATCTCAAATTCTTATGTGTCCTCCTTAAAATCTTTCCTATCTCCACCTCTAAAAAACTGCCACTTTGGACCTCCCCCCTTGGATATGTACTTTGTTTTCCCACCTTTCTAATGCACTTATCAGGCACTTATCAGGGATAGAGCATCGGGCTTGGAATCAGGAAGACTCGTTTTCATGAATACAAATCCTACCTCTCACACTAACTAGCTGTGTGACCCTGGGCAAGTCCCTTAACCCTGTTTGTCTCAGTTTCCTCATCTGTAAATTGAGCTGGAGAAGGAAATGGCAAACCACTCCAGTATCTTTGCCAAGAAAACCCCAAATGGGGTCATGAAGAGTCAGACAAGATTGAACAGCAACAACAACAAATGCACTTATCATTTAATATTCGACATTATAGTTGAATGTCCTTGTGTCTTATCTCCTTACTAGACTGTGAGTTCCATGGCACTAAGGGCCATGTCTCATCTAAATTCTTTATCTCTCCCAGCAACAAGTACTACTCTTTGGACACAGTAAGCACTCAAATATTTATTGAATTGAATTTAACTTATGGTGGGTGGGTTGTGGCAATTTCATACCTTCCTTAGAATTCTGGGATGCCTGGTCCTAGTACCACCTTAGAGAGAGAAAGGTCCCACCTAGGACATAGTAAGTGGCTCTGTTTTTGTTTAACCCCATAGTGGGAATTCCAAGTGAGATAAGAGGAGAGATAAGAGGCAGCACTGTAGCACCACTAGGGAGATAGTTTTGAGCTGGGTTGTCTCAGTGTCCCTCAGATCACACTATACAAGCAGCTGCCTTTTCAGCCTGTTTGCAAGTCAACCCCTGATGCCACTCTTTCTGACGTGGGGCTCTGCTCACATGGATGCTCAACACACACTGACTGGTCTCCCTTTTTCTGATTCAGAGGCAGCCTCTGCTACAACCCTGAAGATCTCATTTCCATCCAAGGTTGGGAGAAAGAGCAGCAACAAAGAGAGCAGAGTGTCTTCCTTGTTCTGAAAAACACAGCAGAGCCCCCAAATTCTCAAAGGAAACTTAGAGATTAGTTTGTCTGACCTCCTTGCTTAACAGATAAACTGAGGTTCAGAGATGAAATGTTTGCCCAAGGTCACACAGTTAGCATCCCAGGTTCAACCACCCCCCTTTTCTCTTCTACACCTTCTTCCCACCTTGCTTTT